ATTATTATATATATAATTATTATCACAATTGTGTTATTTGTAGCTCATTCAGCTGCATACAAGGATGCATTCTGACATTATATTGAATACGGGATATGAGAATATTTTTGAAATTTATGTGCTATCTTCAACCTTTTCCATCGGTGGCCAAATGTTAGTCAATTCGCTGAGAGATACGTCGTAAAGAAGCTGATGATATTCATCCAAAAGGACTGAAAGATAAGCAAATCTTTAATATTGCATTCAGAATATAGGCAGAAATGTATGAATATGTCTTACAATCGGGTTGGACCTTCCATTGGTCAAAGAGTGATTCGCGCGAGTAGATTTGTTTATTTATCAAAGCACGCTTGAAGCGCAGCACCTTGTCGTTCAGATCCGACCACTTCTTGATGAGCGAAGAGGGCGACGACTTCAACTTCGGTTTAAAGGCATCCAGAGCAGGGCAAACCAATCCGTCCAGTAGGTACATTCCAAAGTAGCTAAAACGGAGAGTGAGAGAGCAAAAAGGGAGAGAGAGAGAGAGAGAAAGAACTCTCATAAATATTTATCGTATACCATATATGGCAAGAGGTGTGACCCAACCAGACAATGTATGTCTGATCACGATAAATAGCTAATGCTATCTAGAATATAGATATATTCAACCTACCAGCACGTCTTCTCGCTGCGTGGCATTCGTAGCTCGCACAGAGGCAGCTCCCAGCCTGCTTTGCTGAATGTCACCTTTGCAAAGCAGAAGATGCGACCATTGTCTTGATCATAGCGAGGTGGTGGATCCTCGAACACCTCGTGTACATTGCATAGGAGCGGTACATAGGTCAGCAACCATTCCGGCTCAATGGCCGTAATGCCTCTTAGGAACATCTTGGTGCCTTCGTCACGCTTTAGCTCATAAACTTCCTGATATATGATCCAATCAGGTGTTGCTGCCTGCAGCACCGAAGAAGAGTGCAGAAATGCCGGCTCCTCCATATCGGCACAGTTGTAGGCATATTTAAGCCGGCGTCGCTCCTCCTTGTCGCTAATCTCATCGAGCGGCACTTTGCGCGCCACTCTATCGCCCATTCCCGCAAGCAGGACTTGACGCAAGGCTCGGGCTTGTTCGTCGGATGGAGGACGCAGTTTCGGATTAACGCACAGTTTTATACCCGGTATGAGCAGATTGATGTCGTTGGTCAGCTGCTGACGCAGCTTGCGGATCTCATCAAGGGCGTTAAAGCGAATTCCGTTGACGGCACAGAACTTATTTACTCGTGCGTAGACGCCGAGATATTCATAGGCACACACAGTACGCAGCAGCATCATCGGATCACCCAGCTTATAGAATTCTCCGCTTCTAAATTTGTAGTGTCCCCACTTCATCATCGTCGGCATGTGCCGTTCATCTTCCGGCTTAACGCCATCCGGTGTGATGAACAGCTCCGGCACTGATAGAGCTGCAACCATACAAACTGTGTAGGGCATCAGGTCGAGTTGAGTGGATAATGCAATGATTTTGCCGAAGCGTGCGGCCAGTGGAAAGCAAGCGATAGTTTCGCCCAGAGTAGTAACACGTGGCGGATTAGTCCCTTCAGACCCATCTGTTTTCGATTGCTCTAAGGCGCCCAGCACTAGCAAACGCTGTTCGGCCGCCTTCAGCTGCGCTTGATCGGGCGGCGATGGAAACGGAAAATTCATGATACGATCGATGCCCATGCAGCGCATTTGCAACATCAAATCATCAACAGGTTTTTGCAAGATATCTGGAGGGCTAAAATCCGAAAAGACGTCGTTGTACAGTGCACTCGAATAGAGGCGATAGCAATGCCCAGCACTTATGCGACCAGCGCGTCCAGCTCGCTGATCAGCGGATGCTTTCGACGTGTACGTCACTATAAATGTGCTGACTCCAGTTATCTTGTCGTAAAGCCGTGTCTTCTGTCTGCCACAATCCACAACATACTTGATGTGCGGTATGGTCAGAGACGTCTCCGCTATGTTGGTGGCCACCACACAGAAGCGGCAGCCATCAGGCGCTGGCTGGAAGATGCGTTGCTGCTTTTCCGACGGCAGCATCGAGTACAATGGCAGCACCCACAAGGGCTGTGTGGTTGTTGTGCTTTGTAGGTTGGTCAAATCAGCACTGTCCTGTTGCTCCTCCTCATCCTCACACTCATCATCATCCTCAGCACCCTTCTCCGGGTACGGTAGAAATGACGAGTCATACACATCTAATTCGGTATCATCGCCTGGCAGCTTAGAATCATGCCTATTGATCTTAGGCAATATATCATTTGAAAGGGATTTCTCCATCTTTGTCTCGGATTCCTCGCCTGGCAGCTTATAATCATCCAAATTGACCTTAGGCAATGGACGGACTGTACCTTTCCTTCTAAGTAAACGACGTGCTCTGCGCTCCTTAAATAATTTCCTCATTTCTTCTTGCTCGGCCTCACTAAGCTGCTTTGTTTCCACTTTCTTTTCCTCTCCCACGTACGGAAAGGCCTGACGCAATTTGTACACTAGTCGCATCACCTCGCGCTGCCCTGTTACAAAGATCAAGATGCCGCCCTCCGGCAGGTTTGCGTGAATTTTCACTGTTTTCTTAAAGGCTTCCTCTACATAGTCGCTGGGACAACGCTTCTGGAAGTGAATGGTCACGGGATACTGCCTGGCCTCCACTTTGATCACTGGCGGCGGCACTTTAAACAAGTGAGCGTTAGCCGTGAAATCAGTGACGCGCAGCGTGGCCGACATGATGATCAGCTTTAGTTCATTCGAGCGTTTCTTGCGCAAGGGCACAATGCGCGACAATAGTCCAATCAATATATCAGTGTTAATGGTACGCTCGTGCGCCTCGTCGAGCACAATCACGGAATATTTGCTTAGCAGAAAATCGGTTTCAATCTCTTTCAGAAGGACGCCGTCCGTCATAAACTTAATTTTGGTGTCTGGGGTCGCGTTGCCCTCGAAGCGCACTAGATAGGATACCTCGCTGCTGGGCAAGTTCATTTCGTGGGCCACACGGTTCGACATCGATATGGCAGCCACGCGACGTGGTTCGGTGATGCCAATCATTTTATTCAAGGCATACCCGGCCTCGTACAAAAATTGCGGTATTTGGGTTGTTTTGCCGGACCCTGTTTCACCAGAAATTACAACAATGGGATTCTCATTGATCAGCTCCATCACCTGCTGTTCCTCGGCCAGTATGGGCAAACGGAGGCGAGCCGCCTGCACCTCGGCTGTGCGATTGACTGGCACGTAGACTGTCTTGTGAACAGATTTTGGTGTTCCGGCAGAAGCTTTACGAATAATCATTGGTGATGGCTTAGCTAGCTGCATTGCGAGAGCAGCTTGCTTATTTGCAGCTGGTGGCTGTTGTTCGCCTTTAGCTGGCAGATCAGCCTGATTTTCCTTCATCTCCTCTTTTTCCTCTCCGTTACCCTCTTTGTCATTATCATCTTCGGATTCTTCTGCATTAACAGACTTTTCTTCGTCAGGCTGATTTTCCTCCATCTTCTCGGTTACTTCGTCATTGTCATTGGCGGAATCCTCCTCCTCGCTACTATCCTCTGATTCCTCAGCATTAACTATATTCGGATTAATGCGCTTGGCTTCAATCTCTTCTTGCTCCTCCACAAGCAGCTTACGCTTGCCGCCTTTGAGCGCATTAACACGTTGGCCGCTGCCCTTGCTCTGTTTGTTTTCCATTTTTTGTTGAGTTTGACGCTCTTTTTTCTTGTCCAGTATTTCGTCGATCTTGTGCAGGCGTTTTAGCCCCACCGTTTGGACTTGGCTAATTGATGTGTACTGATTTAGTTCGGTCTCCGGAATTTGTACAGCACCCAGATCTTTCAGCAATTGCTCGCGCTATAACGGAGAAATCAACTTACAAATTAGTGACTTCTGAATAAATGCAGCTCACAAGTCGGTCCAATTATTTTGACGAAATCGTTTTGTGACTATTGAAGCAGGTTAAATACCACCAAATAATTGAGCAAAGCAAATAATCTTTTTAAAGCTCTATGAATGCCGAAAATATGTTATTTATCTTTTTAAAAAAAAATTTTTTTCTGCTGACTTGAAAGTATGCAAGCATCGAATTCTAGCTAGCATATGTATTTTCATGAAAACTGTCGACTGTCTTTTCAGTTTTGAGCATTTGACAACCAAGCTGACATTAGTAACTGACATTACTAACTGACATAAGGTATCGATAAAAAAAAAGAAAAGAAAACACCAGATCTGGGGAGCCGTTTTATGGACAGATAAAAGCTTCGTCGAGTAAAGCTCAAATTGAAAACCAAATTTTTTTTTGCTAGAATGCAAAAATTATTGACTCTGAAGTAAGGTCAATATTTGATTATTCCTTCCGAGGAAATCATATTTTCTGTAGCATTTGATTTTGTTTAGGATGTTGGTATTAAATCCATTATTAAAAGACAATTTAATATGTATATATATGGGCATTTCTCCAGAAAGGTCAACCGCGGCCAAAACATTCAAAGTCAATGTTCATTTAAAGTCAATGTTCTGCTAACATATTTTTTTTTTATAACTAATCCATCAAATTTAACTAATATAAACCAATTTTCTCGAAATATTGAGACACAAAGCCGAATAAGTGCAA